GGCCCGCCCGCCCCGCGCACCCACCTCGCCGCGCTGCCGCTCGCCGTCCCCCGGCAGAGCCATCTCGCCGCCCGCCCGCCTTCCCTCCCGCCCTGCCTCCCTCGCTCCCTCCCTCGGCGCCGCTGGGCGGCCTGTGCGCAACCGCTGCCCCTCTCTCTGCGCGGCCGCGTGCGGTGGGGGAGGCGGCAGACATGCGCCCCGYTCCCGCCCGCGCTGTCACTCTGCTCGTGCCCCCTTCAGGACGGCTGCGGCACTCGCCCCCGCGCCCGCCCTCCCCTCCCCTCCCGCCCCGCAGAAAGGGTTTTTACTATCTTGTTTATTTTCCCCCTGATGTGACTGCGGCACTAACGCGTTCCCGCTCCCAACTTTTATTATCCTGTTTATATCCCCTCGGTGCGCCTGCAGGACGGAGCCCTCGGCGCTCTTGCGCCGCTGCCCCAACACCCCGCTCCCTCGCGGAACTTGCACTATTCCGTTGCTCGGCCTTCGGTGGCCGCTTTTTTTTTTTCCCCACGAAAACTTCCCGCGTGGACGCAGCTCCGCGGGGAAGGGATGCCAAGCAACGGCGGAGCAAGCCGGGAAGCGCGGCAGGCCAAGGCACAAGCGCCTCTTGGACGCGGCTGCGCCCCGCTTCTGCTTGGGGGTGGGCAGGCCTTCCCGCCAGTTGTGTGTGTGTGTTGGTTTATATACATAAATAAACACATATGTACGTATATAATTCTAATTTCCTCGCGTCTTTTCATAAAATTAAAAAAAAAAGGGGGGGGGGCAAGAGCTGAGGTGGGCAGCGGAGAGGGAAATCTCAGGCTGTCATGTTCTCCGATGAAAGCAGGTCTATGTGCCGCAGAAGGAACTAATTGTGAGAAAATTGTGAGAAATTAAATGCAGCCTTGCAAAATTTGGCTCGCTTGCTTGCCCCGGGGCCAGTATATATTTATTTATTTATTTATTTATTTAGCATTGGATAGCTGAGGTATCGCCGTTCTGTCTTCGCTATCCCGCCCAGAGGCCGGGAAGCAGAATTGGCACGAGGAGCGTCTGCTCTCGTGGTGATTTTGCAAGGCCGATTTCGCAAGGCCGCCTGTGCAAATTGCTACTGAATTATAGACGCTCCCGTAAGTGCTGCTACCTAGACCAATATATCCAGGGCTGGTAATATTTTATAAATCGTTAGCTAATAAAACATCTGCACTTGCGTGGGGGAGTATGAAGAACTGCTGTGTGGGAGAGGTGGGATGCGCACGGCTCTACCCCCAAGAGACATCTGAGCCGGCAGTTTGTATGCAGCGTATCTCAGGTCAAGCTCTCCTCTCTCCTTGAAAGTTTTTAAGTGAAATTATTTAGATAGAAGAAGAATGAAAGGAAGGCGAGCAAGGAACGGTGAAGGTAACTTCCCTAGGAAAAGGCCCAGGCGAAGGCGCGATTACCGCAGCCGCTGCGGCCTCACGTGCCAACGTTTCTCCGTAAGGGGCCATGTTCCAACATCCTCCAGCGTCTAGAAATTTTTAAGGCACGTGTGTTTTTTGGTTTTTTGTTTGTTTGCTTTTTGTTTTTTTGTTTTTAAACAGGATGCAGGGGGAACTTATGTTCCAGTTTGTAGAAAATCTGCCCATGAACACTTTCAAAAAAAAAAAAAAAAAGAAAAATATCCTATTTCAACAGTGAAGAATAAAATTTTGAACATAAAACTGTTTATGTTACACAATATACTTACATGGCTATTTTTATTACTTTTAAAGCTTGTAAAAAAATGCAGGTGCAAGCAATTACTGCGTAAGGAAACAAAGCAATTAATATATCCCAGTGTTTTAAAAAACGCAAATTATTTGAAGCTGATAGATACAGAGTCCTGGCCCTTCTTCATTCTTGTCAAGAAAATGACATCTAATTTAAAAAGCATTCTCAATGATTCTGTTAACCCTGACAAGAGTAACAGCACACTATAACAGCAAATCTCTGCTTTATTTCCCTGCCCGATACATGAAAACTATATATTTTTTAATTAAAATTTAGTAAGTATATTTTAATTTGTTGGATGAATTTATATATTGGTAAAACTGGTAACGAATAATTTTTTCCTTGTAGATTTTTTTGATTCATTTAAAAGTCTTTCTTTTTTGAAAAGCAACTAGTACCTTTCCTAGATCTCTCTTTTTGTAACATTAGATGCTTAAAGGATTGCTTTTTAGTTTTATAAGGAAGCATTGTCAAAGGAAAAATAAATCACTTTGCAACAGCTTAATTAAAGCTGCACCAAGGTAACACGAATATATATTTTTTGGGAGAAAAAAAAAGTGCCTACTATATATTTTGCAAATAAAAATATTTTGATCTCACGTAATGGAACACAAGAGCTCAGTACTGAGCCTGAAATTATGCTTAGGTCAAAATTCAGTCAGGCCTTATTCAAATTATTTTATAAAACATTTGTTTTACTTTTAATAGATTTCCATTTAATGCTCTCAATAGAAAGAATATACATAGACTGAAAGAAACTCTGTGATAACTACCTTCTGGTATTGTGTAATATTTGATGAAAAAAATTGAGATAACCTCTTGATAGTTCTATAAAACAATCATTTAGAGGAAACCTTTGAAATGCAAAGTAGGAAAAGAAATACATCACCACTAAATAAATACTGCGAATACTAAGCCTATAACAGCTAGGGAATCAGAACATAAAATCTTGTAACATATATGTTCTTATGACTGCAGTATTTAATATACACTGACTTGACATAGAAGGCAAATTTTCTTTATATATATATACATATATATWTTTTTTTTAAACAGGCTATCCTTCTTAAGATGATATATAAGGGATTAAAATAATTAGAGATAAATATAATTCAACATGTAAAAATGAGTAATTTCATTGAAAATTTAAATCTGATTCTCTTAAAAAGAACCTAAGAAATCAAAAATATAACCCAGTTAAATTATTTTAAAAAGATGCAACAATGATACATTTTCATATTTTTAGATACTTTCACAGATAGAAGGAATACAGAAGTGAATTAAAATTATACTCTAAGTGAAAAAAATGTTTTTAAAAGTTTAAGTCATTCCTCAAGAAAATGTTAACACGCATATTAGTGCTGCGTCTCTGCTTCATTAACAAAGTAGGGAGGTATTCACCTTTAATTTTTACTGCTAGTTAATCAGTTCCAACAGTACTGCTAAGATTATCTTTTGGGATATTTGCTTTAAATTTCACTGACTTTTTCTACAGCACATGCAAAATCCTATCTTCAGTTTAGTTTATAAAACAAAGTATTGAACAAGAAAATGTCTTTCATTTACAAAACTATTTTATCAGCTGGATGTGACCCTCAGCAAAGTCCRTCAGGAATAACAGAAGAGGCGTCATTTTTATCCAAGGTATATATGCTGCATTAAGAAACATGAACTGAAGTTGGGAACTGGAATTGTAGAGTGGGAAACTGCCTTCTTTATAGAAAGTAAATTTCTCGTGGCAATTTTCAGTGCATTTTCAATTTACGTGGAAGGCTTTCATGTGCCCCTGTGCAAAAGGATGCGCGCTGCAGCTAACCAGCTGCAGCTGAAAATGGGAAAATTACAATAACCTACTGATACTCAACATGGACACYGATGAATATCGTGTTCTTCTGTTTAAAATCCACTGATTTTTGTTTGCTTCTTGTTTAGGTGTGTTTAAATCATTAGGAGTCCTCATCAAAATACATTTTTATGCTGGGTATTTGCTTTATTCCTAGGAAAGCAGCAACAAAACGGTCACTTTGTACAAAATAGAATGTGACTCTTGTGTGTTGACCTTTGCACGTAGTGTGTTTTAGATGGCAGACTGGCTTAGATCCAACAAATTATTTCTATCCATGTTCAATTATGAAGGATATAGCATGTCTACAGAAACCATATTAAAAATGCTAATGTATCTTTATATGCTTATTCTTAAATTATACTGAGAAAGCGCAAAGTTTTCTTTTGCCTTCTATTCTTTAATAGAAACTATCAAATCATTTTATGACACCTATGAAGAAGCGATTTACTCAATAATTAAAATGCTCTAACATGTAGTATGTAGTTGCATCTTGACCGGGGCGTTGTATATTGTACATTTATACGTTATGCAAGTACAGGTAGGAGCATCGAAGGTCACGTCAGTGCCTCTCCTGGACACGGCGTTGTTTACTTTTGTATGAACATAATTAGAAATTCTGTAATTATTTAGACTGCAAAGAAAGTGGGATGTAATTCCAGCAACTATTGTATTCCTCTTCTTGCTTTTAATTGTACTATCACCTTTGGAGACTTTGGTGAATTCCACTTAACTGGCAGGAATGGATAAAATTGGTGGTTTTCAAGTACTGCTTCTGTAACAAATGTTGGCATTTAAATGTTAATTTCAGACTGAGGTTTACAGTAAACACGGAGCAAGGGATTTTCTTTCTTTGAATGAACAACCTCGAACCAAAAATCTAAATAACAGAATCCTAGCAGAGG